GGCCACTGTTATGGGTACTACTTGATGACCTGCCACAAGTGGCCTTCAAATCTTCACATCCACTGGTCTGGATGGGTCTTCCACTGCTTCCACAAGCATCAGGCTTCCATGGGGATGTTCTTTTATTCTATCCCAAATTATCTTCTCTGACATAAGGAGTATTGTAGTTGACTTAAGTGCTGTGACATGCAAATCAACAGACGCAGCAACATTTACTGGAATTTGGCCTTTGTTGTTCCCAATCATCATTTTATCAAAGTTAACTACACACTTCCTCAGTAGTAAGTAGCCCAACCCTAATATGCATTGGTCTTCAATGTCAGTCAAGTATACTTTGTGTTTGAGCTTTAAACCCATGAGCTCAATAGTTACCCACACTGGTCCCCACAACCTTGCATAATGTCCTGTCACACCACAGAGCTTCTGTATGGCTTCTGGTACTCCTTTGTGATCTAGCACCTTGATACTCACAAGGGTTTGCTGAGCTGCAGAATCTATGACAAAGTTGCACTTTTAGCCAACCAGCTTTCCTGTCACGTAGACATTATGTGTGCTTTCCATTTTATACTTAGCTGTTGGGACTTTCACAATGGGAGTTGGTGGGCATCCCTCAACACCAACCACTACCTTTTCGGGTAGCAGCCTTTCCTGCCATGGCATCTTCCCTGTGTTGAAGTTGCCGGCATTGAGCTCTCTTGTGCCCAGGTTTGTTACAGTGCCAGCAAAGTCCCTCAAACCTCTCTGAAAGCTGCTCTTTCCTGGCCTTGAATCCTGATGACTGTACCAACCTTGGTACCTTTGTGCTGGACTTAACGTAAGACTAGAATTCAAGAGCTCTGGCCATTGCATCCTGCATAGTAGAGGTGTGTGCTTGCTTCACTCATATCTTTAGTTGGGGACTGTCCAAGGCATCTATAAACTGATCCCTCAGCAACAGCTTGAGGACATCAGGTGGCACAGTTTGGTAGGCCTTGTGTGCCATACTTTCCAAAACCTGTGCCGGCTCTTGCAGACTCTCTCTCTCTTTTAGCACAAACTCTAGTCCTAAACCTAGCCCTGTAGACATCGGATTGATTTTGAGTTCCATACCTGAGTTCTAGAGCAGCTACCAGTGCTCTATAGTTGTGCCTGTCGACTGCTGACAACTGTCCAAGTATTTCCAGTGGTTGTCAGGTACACTGCTTTCTGCTCCTCTGTCCATCCATTCATTTCTGCCAGGAGCTCAAATTGTGCTCTATATACTTCCCATGGTGCCTTCCAAATCGAATTCCTGTGGCTTTCTTCGCACTAGATCACCCCTATTGCTGACACTCATGTCTGGAATGTGATTTCTGGCAGGACTGAAGATGTCTGCATTAAGGTTTAGCTGCGGGGTGTGGAAGGGGTTTCCTGTTGTCTGGAGATGATTAGGTCCATGGCTAATATATCCTCCTTGTGTAAAAGACAGTAAATCATCCTTTAATGTATTTAATTCACTTTGAAATTTACTAATATTTTCCATTTGGCTTTCTCTCAACTGTTGGAGACTTTCTTCTTGTTTATTTTCTTTTTCCTCCAACAACTGCTGTAGTCTCTCTTCTTGTTCATTTTCTTTCTTTCTCCTCCAACCACTGCTGTAGTCTCTCTTGTTTATTTTGCTGTTCGAGCTGCCACTATTGAAGGTTTTCTTGCCACTGCTGTTGTCTCTCTTCTTGTTTCTTTTCTTTTTCCTCCAACAACTGCTGTAATCTCTCTTCTTGTTTTTTTCTTTTTCCTCCAACCACTGCTGTAATCACTCTTCTTGTTTCTTTTGCTGTTCTTGTATTGCTGCCATCAAATCTGCTAAGCTGTTGTTTGATTTGCCACTTCTCGTTTCCATCTTCTTTTTTTTTTCCGTCCCACTCTCTGACACCAATTTGTTACGTATCTGCTCATTTGTTAATTTCCAGTATAAAGTCTTTCCAAGGAACTTCAGTGATACAAGTCCTTTTTTAAATAAAACTAGTTTATTCTTTCTCTATACAACTTTGTAATACACAGAATTTCCACAGTTAATACATTTGCAATTTCAATAACAAAACACACTTTATATTACCATCACTACCTTGACTCAATTATCTATCTCCATATCTATCTATCTATGCCCTTGTGCTCGTTTTTCTCGCCAGGCTTATACACTAAAAAAGCGGGAGCCTCGGACAAACTTGGGCCTCCCCGATAATTCATGATCCTTCCAGAAACTTCAGCGCGCATGCTCCCAGTGTCACTTCTGCTGCCGTAATAGTATTATAGTTACCAGATCTCATACTTGAAAAACAAAAATAGTGTTATATTATACACATCTAAGACTTGCAAAAAAGATACTGACATTATATATTTAAACGACTTCAAATTTCAAAAGAATAAAGATATATGGTACTATATTTCCAAGGCAATCAGACATAAAAACACCACAGGAACTGTATTCACCAGACTAGAGACTTAAAAAAAAAGTATATATATATATACATATGGTATTATTTTCCCAGGACATAAGATATAAAAACAGCAAAGGAATAATATTTTACCAGACCAGAGACTAAAACAAATATGGTTATATATATATAGTATTATTTTTCCAAGACATAAGACATAAAAACAACATAGGAACTGTATTATGTGTATTTAACAGACAGAGACATAAAAGAAACACATCAGACATGAAAATAACATACATATTGTACTGTATTTACATACCTGATGCTTAAAAAAAATAGCTGTCAATAAAATTCAACAGACCTCATATTTTAAATAATAAACATTACTAAACATATTTAGTATAACTACAATGTTAAGTTTACATCATAATATGTGCAATTTTTTGTGTAATGTAGGGGGGCAAATGCCCCTCTTTTGCCCCTTCCTGCAGGCACCCATGTATTTGCAAAAAAAAGATTCCAATTGTCTTATACTTACTAAATCATAGAGTATGGCACTAAACAGACCTGCCTTAGAACTGAAAATAGATATGGCATTATTTTTGATACAACTTAGACTTAAGAACAAAAGAAATACTATAATATATTCTCTTCATCTCAGGTTTGAAAATGAGAAATATTATACTACTTTTAACAGATCTTGGACTTGAAATTGATATAAGACTTAATGATATCAGACATTAAAGCAAAATATTAAAGATATTGGTATTATATTTACAAGACACAAGACATTAAAACATGATATTGTACATAATGGTATTATATTTAATAGACTTAAGATATTAAAACATGATATTGTACATAATGGTATTATATTTACTAGTTTGTTTGTTTGTTGTTAAGCACAAAGCTACACAGTGGGCTATCTCTCTATGCCCATCACTGGTATCTTTATAAACACCTTGTATATCAAACAAACCAAAGACTTGAAAGAGATAAGAGAATCAGTGATAGTGCACAATGCAAAAACTACTTTTTAATATGTTTTACCCTGAGCCACCAATGGGCATTAAAACAAGATACTGCAGACATTAGTATTATAGTTACTAGACCCCTGACATTAAAACAAGATAGATATTACATAATGTGCTGAACTGCAAAAACTTCTTTATAAATACCTTGTATATCAAAGACTTGAAAGTGATAGTACACAAAGCAACAACTAGTTTTTAATATGTTTTGCAAATAAGTTATATCCTACTGTTTCTTTAATGTTAGTTACATTAACAATGTTCATTAACATTTTTAATAAATATATCTTTTTTACTAATTATTTTTTATTTACATATTTTATTACATATTAGTTACACAACTAATATCAGTTTGTATTATTAGCTAAGTATATGAATTTCAGACTAAGCTAAATCTCTTAACCTGGCTGAACCCCTTTATATCTTATTCGAATTAAGGCCAAAAATATCACTGACAGCAAGGGTACCCAACTGATGAATCAATGCATAATAGTCAATATATGTAAGAACAGTATATCAAATTAGCTATATTAATTAATGCATGAGTTAATTTTTAGTACTTATTTATTTAGGTAGCTTATTTTGATCAGAAATTAATGACAATGTTATAGTATTACATTAAACAGAGCTTAGACTTGAAAGATAAACAGATATGGTATTATTGAATGTTTTTTATATTTGATGAATGTATTTTTAAACTAATGTTAAATGTTGTTACACTAAGTTTTATTTGGAATTTGAAGGATATGTACAACCTTCCTCACCAATGGAATATCTTCTGGATCTTCCTGATTCTCCAAAACCACATAGCAACAGCTCCTCCTCTTGTCATTCCTGGTGTTGTCATCTTGGACCAGCCCTGTAGTGATGCGGAAGCCAAGGAAGTTACAATCTTCATCATCAGTTAATGTGGCAGGTTCTCCTTCCCATACATCTTCTACCACAACAGGCTTGTACAACAGGCGGTAAGTATGGGGAGGGCGGGACCAAGCAGGGAGCAAGGGAGTAGCATAATGCATCACTAAAGTGAAACAGAATTGACAAAAACTACCAGACAACTAAATAAAAAAAGCAAACAAATAAGTGCATGCTCAAACTGCAAACCAACAAGCAAAGCAAAAAGAAATGAAAGTATACTTTTCATGCAAACTGTCTAGCAAACAGTCAAGGCCAAAAGAAAATAGCAATTTTGTAATCAGTCTTTACTTTCAAATGCTAATTTTTACAGTTTAGATGGCAAACGTTAACAAAAAGAAAAATAATAAGAATGCCAGGCACAAAAAGACTATTCCACATATACAGTATTTGGTATTTTTATAAGCTAAATTTAGCTTAAATAATGCCCCTTGCCTGAAAATAAGCTCAAACACACACATATATTCATCCAAACTTACTTGCCAAATTTCACTAGTTATTATTTAGTTTAGCTTAAACAAACCCACTTATATTACATTCAGAAAAAAATCATGTAACTAAAATATTATACAATACAGTTTCAAAACAGTGGCTGTCCATCATCATTACCTTTTAAATAAAATATAGTTACTATTAATTTCAAATAAAAATAATTTTGTATCATATTGCATTTCACATACTATCAAGTAGCATAACCTCAAAGATGTGTTTCATATACTTCTGGTATTCTTGTAAATTAAAAACTTGAATGCTATGATTTATAAACATTGAATATATCCAGTTCTTAGGTTGACTGCTGTATCATTCCATGTAAGAATGTGCCTTAGTAAATTTTGTCTCAATACATTTTTTTTTCATGTAACTTTTTGATATACCTCAATCAAATGGTAGAAGTTCAGTCAATATAACTTAAATATAATTACAAAGGTAGGTTGTACTCTGCTGTTGTTGTCTTCATGTTCAAAACCCTTAATAATTACTCTTTCCTGTTTGATTAATGAAGTTTTTATAGAAATGGAACTTTTCTAGCTCAGACTAATAAAGTCCCACAGAAACCATTTCCAAAAGTTTATAATCCTCATACATAGTTAAGTTATTTAAAAAAAGGAATAATTTTGAAATTCAAAGTTTTCAAAAGCATAAAACTCAAAAGGCAAAGTAGACTTAACACTATTTAAGATAGGTCAAGATTCAAAACCTACTCTAATATATTCCAGTTTCTTGATCATCAACTGATAAATTAAATTATATTTTATATATGTAAAACATCTCACAAGGTATAAAGGAAATTTGTATAATTTGGAAATCACAAAGTAACCGGTTCAAAGTTGTTACATGACCAAAATTTGTATACAAGTAATATGTTTTCAATAGAGACACTATTTAATGGTCTTACAAACATTATACAAACAAAATTACTTGTATTTTTTCTTAAGCCACCTGAAAATCATCTACCTCCCAGTTAGTGCCCAAATAGACTCTAAAAATCACATAGTAAATATTTTAAGAAATAGAAGATTTAACCACAAATACTTCAGAATTAAACTCTTCTTTGAGAATGTATTAAAACAAATTTAAGTTAATGGTCTTTTAATATAATTCTCAACAAGGACTTAGAATAGAAATTTTTACATCAAATTACTAGTACTGCTATCTATTACTTTTTTTGTTAGTTTTCATTGATATACAGTGATTTATTACATCATAGTTACTTAGCTAATTTAATGTCTAATTTATACTTTCTTTTGCAGTATTACATTTTTTTAGCTTACTCATTCAGAAGTCTTTCAGAGTAGTAACTTAATATTAAATAAAGAAATATAATGCATTATATCAATTATTAATGCATTACTTTTTAGCAGCCATTATACTGTTAAAAACATTAAAACTCAAAGTGAGTTCTTACTTAAATCTTTTAACAGTGTGAGAAGCACTCATTTGAGTACAACTACTTATCATTTCACATAAGTTTCTCACCATCATTCTTCTCTTGTGACTTCCATCCTGTTAAATCCAAAGGCTCTTCAAAATCGCCCTCCTCCTCCTCCTCTCTTCCTTCTTCCTGTACCTCCTCTAAGCCTGAAAACCACATCATAAGGGGAAAAAAAGTTGCATTAAAGATAATTCCAAAAGTCACAAGAATGAAACACAGCAGCTTAGCAGCATTATTAAATAATGCTTCTTAGGAAATATTTTCATACATAGTGATAAAATTAACTGAATTTTAACACAACTTATGTTAATTTATATTTTCATTTCATCAGAAAGAGATTATAAGCTTAATATAATAAATAAAATAATATATATATATATATTCAAACTACCAACAGGTTAGAAATAACCTATCATTTTATTCATATTTTTTATTTTAGTAGCTTGGTAGCACTTTCAAAGCTTTAACATTGCTCTTCAGCCAATGACTTTTCTTATAGTGCTAGGTGTAGAGGAAGCAATTAGAAGTGCAAGACTTTAATTGCCTCCTGTACATTCAGCACTAGAGCACTAGCACAAAAGAGTCATTGGTTGAAGAGCAGTGTTGAAGCTGCAAAAGCACTAACAACCTACTGAAATCAAGAATATAAATAAAAAGATACAATATTTAGAACATGGTTGAGCTTTCAACATTTATATATATATATACACACTACCATAACATATTTCATGAGACATTCTTATATTATAACTGTTTCTTTTGTAGCAATGCTCTCTTGTTCTGTCCATATGTATGATTTGTATATCTATATATACAATACTGTATGTATACACATTTACACACACACCACATATATAGAAGTAAAATGATTTTGATGCTACACTTGCTACAGATACTGAATTTCATTGCAAAGTCAATGATTAAGTAAATAATTTATTGAAATTTAAAAAAGCATGAAACTTTTTATAGAAGATTTCTGTATGTATTTTAACAAATAAGCTAACTAACAGATAACTAAATTATTTTTACAACTGACTGTAAACATACATAACTCAAAAAATAAATAATAATCTCATATTCTTAAGACACTAAATCAAAATCACCTTACAAGATATTTCACCAATGAGTTCTCTGTGGGGAATTATAATAGGCTAATTCTTGAACAGAACACAAGACTAAACTTTTCTCGTGCTTAATAAACATTGTGATTCAGTCTATAAACAATGGCATGTTTCCAGGAATATATTAGTGATTCTCTTAATATAAACACTTTTCGTTTTTAGCCTATGTCAGTATCTTCTGATTCAAATTTTCTAAACACACCAGATCTTCAAGTAGATTAATTCATAAGTCCAACCTGATCAGCTTAAAATTCAAATAGTTTTCTAGTAAGGAATCATTATAACTAGCCATTTTGGAAAAACAATCATATCAATTTTAACCTTTATTTATTTTATAAAATATATAACTTTTAATGCCAAAAGCCAAATTTTTAAAACTAGGAATCATTTTGAAAGTCTTTCTCAAGAACTTTCTAATATGCCAGTACATGCATCTTTCCTACAGGAAAAAAAAAAATCAAAATTGATAGCACTACAATAACATCTCTTATTAAGCAATAACAAATTCTTTAGTCTTAAAATAAAGTTTCACTACATACATCCAATTTTTAAAAAATTCACTTTTCATCAGAATTAAATATGTAAGACTTGAGCACCTAACTTGTAAACCACTCTTTTGTTTTCTTAAGTAATATAAAAAAGTTCATCACAAAACAAATATTATAAATGAAAATCAAAAGTGTATGGCCTTACTTTCCACCTTTAAAACCTTCAATGAGTCTGTTTAGCTTTTCCTGAATTATAAACACAATGTAATATCTCTCCTAACCATCATCTTAGCATCATTGTACACTTAACATTTAAAGACTATGCTACCATCTACAACAAATGTTAGGGTAAGTTTCTATAACCACTCTATTAGAACCACAGACTGTACATCATTTACATAAAATCAAACTCAGGTTCTTTTCTTTTCACTACCAAGAATAACTGGCCATGCATAAATTATAGAAAAGATCAGTCAAATACTGTAATTCATACCTTTCATTTTTTTTTACATTTTCAGAAAACTTCAAGCAATGTTTACATATCCTTTTCTTTAAAAACTAAAATACACAACATTTAAAAATTGATCTATATAATGATTCAAAAAATATAAAGCTACATTTCAATTTAGCATATTCTAGTGTCAAATACAAAAGTAAAAAGTGAATGGAGTATTCAATATTTTATCCTGAACAAAAAAAGCATTATTTTCAACACACATTCTAACAATTATGACCCACATAAAAGTGAGGTACACAGTCTAAAAAGCACAATAAAATATTGAGTAAGGAGGGAAGGAAATATTTTGGATTCTTAAAATATTTAAACATACATTTTAAAATTGCTTAATGTTAAAGTATCAGTTTACAAGATTTGGTTATTATTTAAAATCAGTGCCAATAGAAACATGTCTTTCCAAAATAACAATGTAACTATATATATTGTAGCTAATTCTCAGAAGTTACAACTTGCACCATACTGTACAAAACTATACTGAGCCATATTCAAGAGCTGCAATACATTACTAAACTTGAAGTATAGCAAGGTGCATTTAAATTGTACAATACAAAACCAAAACATGCTTTCAGAAAAAATATTGTAAAATATCAAATTTTGAAATTTTAGTTTATTAAGATCTAAACTTTGATGTTATTTTTGCTATTCAATATATAAAATACACACAGTTAATCCTTGATAAGGGTTCCAGAACAGAAACAAATGCAAATAATTTCCATATGGCAGTGTGTGTGAGTCTCACCATGTGCAACTTTAGATATTCTTTGAGACCTTTCATGAAAGATTATATTGTGCTTATGTCTATAAAGTATGAGTGCAAAAGTAACAGATAAGTATCCATGTAGATAACCTATAAATAATGGATAAAAAAAGCCCTTTGTGACAAAAGGGGCTTTCTAAAGTATTAAAAAATATATAACAGTATAAAAAAATTGGTTAAAAATTTGTTTTAAATAATTAAAAACAAAATATGTGTTTTGAAACTATTTTACAATCCTAATTTACTATGTGAATGTTCACACAGTTATTATACCACACAAGATTGGAAACAAATATACACTGCCCTTTAGCAGATCAGACGGTTGCCAGGGTAACGATGAACGTCAGCACGTCTTGCACACAATATACACGAGAAGCGTATCTGAAGTAAACGGGTTACCAGACGTTGAATGTGAGCCACAGCCAGGAACGTGAGATGGCTTCAAGTATGTACACCTACCTCTATTATGGTCACCGCTCTGATGCATTCTCTGCCTTGTTCCCGCTCCTGGTCCTACGAACCGTACCTTACTCGCCTTAGCTATCTACCGTAAGACTAGACCCTTCATCCGAACTATGCTGGTTTCCCACGTACTTCACTGTGGTTGATAATTTTTGATTTTTACTCCTTAAGCAGGAGACAGATATGCCTATGAATGTGCGTGGGTTCTTTTTCTCACTCTTCCTGAACAAACAAACGCACAGCTGTCGGTGCATAAACACCCGTCGTCTGACACCCTTTACTCCACAGCTCCGGGGTTTGTCGTCTGGCACGGCACGCACGCACGCGCAGCCTGTCTGTCCGCCGCTGGTGAACCCACCATTAAACCAGCAAGCCAGGCTTCTCAGCATACTAGCTTGCCTAAACGATACAGGTACTTCAACGTTAGTAAATATACTCTCCTAGAAAGAACAACAGTCAGAGACCAAGAATACCTTGGCTTTCTTGAATAATTTTTTTCTTTTTGCAGTGTAACATACTATAAAATATGATACATAAATAACATATAAGTTATTAAGCAATCAAACTTCGATAGTATTTCTTCCCGAATCTCATCTGAGTTTGTGTCTTCAAATATATTTCTTAGAAACCACTCTCACATAACTTTAAACAATTTTACTTTGTCAAAATTTGAGCTAAGTTACTTCAGAATTGTGGCTTTTTATAAATACATTGTCTTACACCGTTTGTTTTTCATAGTTTAATTTGAAGTTATTGCAGTCACAACGTCGCGACTGTCAGTCAGTAATATGTAACTATAATTACAAAATAAACAACAACAAAAAAACACCTAATATACATTTCGTTTTGTATTTGTCATATATGCTTACTATCTAATTGTTATGATATTAATGTTGTTGATCTTATAAAGAAAATTTTACAAATTAATTTAAACATGATACGTATTGGCATTTTCCATATACTACTACTTGATAAATTCCAAGTTTGTTGGAAATGCACGAGAAAAGACTGACGCTCATAACTTCCAATATTTTATCGTTCACTTTCAACACTTATAATAGCTTATATTACGAAAGCTCGTGATTAGATGAACACAAGGTTACGTTCTCTATAAACAGTTATATCCTGTTCGTTACTGATAAGTTCTCTATCAATTATACCCTGACCACTAATGAGCTATCTTTGGCATATTATCATTAACTTTTAATCAAAGTAAGCCACCTACATAGATCTGAACTAAACATTAACCCAGTAGTTAACATATCTAATTTAATATGGCGTTTCTGTTTATACTTATTAGAATGCGTTGATTATATCAGTTGAGTATTCTCACTATTTCAATGGTTCGCGTCTCGCTAAACGTGAAAAAATAATCGCGCTCCGGACTTTGGGGCTGTGGATGCGTTATAATATTGAAAGTAAAATTCCACTATTCGGCCTGATAAGGGTATCCCAAAAGTTTGCGGGGGCGGTTTTGACTAACTGCATCCCCTCTAAAAATTTGGGATAACCTTTATGTAGTTTTGCGCAAAATCCAAGTTGTTAGCAGTATTTTCACACTTTTTTCAGCCATAGTCACAATAATATTTCACGAAGTTCAGCCAGCCTAAGCGATTTAGGTTATTCCTAAATCCACATACTAAGTTAGCAATGCAAAATAATCTTCATAACAAAAAAGGTACAATAACAAAATGAAAATAACAAATATAAATGTTATATATTTTAAACATTTTAACCAATTCTGTTAATGAAACTAATATTAAAGAAATAATAGAATTAACATACTTACAAAACAAAACTTTAAAAAAAAGTGTTTGCTTCATGCAGTATCACCGATTTCTTTACTATACAAAGATCTCTTTAACAGTTAGTTATACCCTGACTACTAATAAGCTATCTCTAAAAGGTATGCAATGATTACTTAAAAATTTCCATACAGGTAATACCACACACTATAATTTGCATCATCATTAATCTTTATAAGTTGTGATTTGACTGCATCAGAACGTTTCAGAATATTCGCACCACACGTACATTCTGACTGCACCTAACAGTAACTTTCTTTGTAATTGTCATTTGTCGCAACAAGTAACAGAAAACCCGTTACTTTTACATTATCGGGCAGGCTTGTCTTTTTTTTGTTTTTTTGCCTTATTGATTATCATATATTCTATATGGTTTTAAATATCTATATATTTATTAGCTGTTTAAAGGAGGAAACGTAGCAGCTATTTTACACTGAAACATGTAATTAACTATTATTATTCTAAAATTTGTAAAACGTTCTTTTATCAGTCGATATATCTAAATGGAATGGCCTTAGTAAGTATATTAGATCTAATGTGTTAAGGAACGTGTCAAGATTTGAATATTTCAGTGTCGACTACCACCAAGCTCTCACAAGATTCTGAAACATCTTGTTTAAAGTCCTTTCAGTTTCAACCAAGAGGAACAACTCCTAAACCTTTCTATAGATTTGCAATTCTACGGGTAATGATAATTGGATTCAAAGGTAAATCATAAATGAAAAAAAAACTGTGATTAAGTTGCTGAAAATCAGCTACTCATATTAAAAACTACATCTTCCAACTAAAGAAATGCAAATTACTTGACTGAGAATGAGTGTCGGTAAAGTATTCCGTAGACAAGCAGATAGAGCTATCAAGCGCTCGACTTCTTTTTTTGTATTATCATGTAGAAATCTCCTTATCTATACTATTGGTGACTTGATTTGTACATATATAAACACACACACCCTTTTGAGAAGCAAATTTAAAGTATAATCTTTAAAGTAATACCACTGTATTTTTTTCCTTCTGTATCTCTGTAATAATGCTTAAACATTGGCACGCTTTCGAATGTGGTGAAAAACCCAATGCGGTTAAATTCGCACACCTTTTTGGAATGTGTGCATATAACTGCACCACTTTTCATATCAACCGCGCCATTATTTATTTCCTTAGTAAAAGTATTGAAATACTATAAAAAATTGAGGAAAAAAAAAAGGTAAATAAAACGGATTCTCTGTGCAGTAGATCCTTTCTGAATGTAAATATAAACGCATAATACATGGATTTTGAATCTGATGGTGATTTTAGCTTGGCGCTTTCGAGAGAAATAGAGCCAGTTTTCACGAAAGAAAAAAAAACATAATGGATTGTGCAAAAATGAATAAAAACTAAGACGAAATAAATTTATTATTGCATATTTATCAATGTTTTAATTTTACAGTGTATTTGAAAATATGAAACTATTTCCAAAGGCATTACTATTTAAACAAATGCGAACTCTACATTATATTGATTAAATGTATATACTTTCTTGACACTGTGCATATGTGTATATGCAATCTATTAATTTTTATCGGAATATTTTATTTAACAGTATTTAAGAGAAGTTTTTTCGTCTGATATATTTGCACATAGAGATAATCTTTTGCAATCTAAAAATGTTTATAAAATCAGCCGAAAAGACTACAAAAGTGAGGTCTAGGGGGGGGGGCAATTTTTTTTTGTTTGAAGTTAAGCACAAACCTATCCAATGAGCTATCTGTGCTCTGTCCACCACGGGTATCGAAACCCGGCCTCTAGCGTTGTAAGTCCGCAGACATACCGCTGTGCCACTGGGGGGAGGGCAGGGGCAAAATTAAAGATTGTGAAAAATGTTAGAGTGAGTCAAGTACGACAACTGTTACCCTAGTAAACATCTTAACTAAATTCTCAGGTGTCCACCGCATGATCGCCTACTGTTTGATTCACAAAAAAGTGCAACATCATAACATCAACTTTTGAAAAATTTTGTGTCATGCATCCAAAATAAAATCATAACTAAAATATTAAGATTTAAAATTTTCTTTTAATATGAGTTTTAATAATATTTGTTTTGAACGAAATGATAAAAGAAAAACGAAACTTTGGCCCTAATTGTCAGTTTTTAGCCTCCTTTTCGAACTTTTATCCAGATCGTGGAAATAAATATATTTCCTGTCCATGCAAAGACAACTTGTCAGTAGACGATACTAAGACGAAAATACGTAGGGTTTCAACAATTTTCAAGCTTGTTTGTTTATGGTTAAGCACAAAGCCATACAATGGGCTAGCTGTACTGTGCCTACCACGGATATTGTCACTAGGGGCAATTTTCAAGCATACATTAAAAGCTTCGTTAAATTCTCCCTCTTGCTATTGAGAATGGACCGACAGTGGTCCGTTATCCCCCCCCCCGTATGTATCACAGGATTTTGTGTCTAGATATTAATTTTATCATGAGGATGATACGCTCCCAGACTTCCCTCACGTTAACAAAACTCCACGTCTTTGGTGTGTCGATCGTGCAACGGCAACCTCTTTTATTTTTCTTTTTTTTCCAACTCTGTTATACCCTTGTTAAACGAATCTTAACCTGGAAATTATATATTGGTAATATTTTATACACGTGTGATCTATATCAAAGTCGTACTGTTATCAAAATCAGATGAAAAACGACTATGTCAAAACTTTTTATTATTGAGCATAAGTTATACAGCCAAATTCAAAAATCGCAACTCTGAATAACACAAACCCCAACGAAACATTGTAAGTGTCTAAAGCCTTAACGCGGACCATCATGATGTATAACTGAGAAGATAAAACAAGACGGCGTTTCACTGATAGAAATGTTGACTGGTATTCGAAAGCTAATCATAACAATAGAGACAGACTAAATCTTCCTTCAGACTTCAATGGAATTACGCTGTTCAAGTGCACTCAACAACAAGTATACTGACGTTTTTAATAACTTGATAAGTGGCTGAGCACCACCCAGTGGTTAGTGTGCCGGATTTTGGTCCCAAGTTCTATGGAATGCACCTTGTTACCACTATATAAAAAGAAAAGAACAATTAGTGTTCCGCAGTTTGGGGCGTATGTGCGTTATAAGGGTGACTGTCAAATGCCACAATTCGAATGGAGCAGCCCACGAGCTGCGATTAATGGTTTTTTTTTACTAGCTGCTTTCCCTCTAATCTCCATCACTTCAAAATTAAGGATGGCTAGCACCAATAACCTTTGAGTAGCTTTGCGCGAAATTCCACAAACAACAACTTGCTAAGTGTAAACTGAAGGGCTCTACAATCTGCAACTGTGAAAAGATACCTTCGAGTTTTTATTTTACAGCTGAAAGCCAGTAGCTAAACTACTAAAATTCCCCCTCAGCAGTAAGCTAATAATGCTAAAATTTGGAGCTCGATTCCTGTGGTAGTAACATCAAAGAGAGCCATGATTGTGCAGCTTTGCGGAAACAAAAACTAAAGTTTGTAGGATGTCTTGGTTTTACAGATAAATCGACGTTTCTGAATACATGACCACAACTGTTGAATAAGCTATAGATATTAAACTCCCAAGAAAGGGAGAAAAACTAGGTTAATGTTTCGACCAAACGACCTTCACCAAAACATTCTTCT